GGAGAGGGCTGACTGAGGTACATGAGAGGAAGCACGGAGAGGGCGGACGTGGGGTACACGAGAGGAAGCACGGAGAGGGCTGACATGGGGTATACAAGAGGAAGCACGGAGAGGGCTGACATGGGGTATACGAGAGGAAGTACGGAGAGGGCTGAGCAGCCGTGGAGGTGGAAGTGGTTCAGGGAGGAAGTTCTGTAGCAAATCGGAGGAATAAATCGCCCTCTCATTTGCCCACTTGATGGATAGATCACTCACTCTCCATCCATTTACCTATTCATTTATATAATCAATAAATCACTCACTGATTCATTCAATAGATAAATATATCATTCACTGATCACCCATCTCTTCACTGGATAGGTAAGTAAACCTAATCATCTGTTCCTTACGCAGGCGCTCACCGAGGGCCCTGCCAGCCCCCATGGTGGGTCTGGGGACACCTGCATGAGACAGGCATGGGAGCCTCCCTCAAAGGTCTCAGAGAAGAGGAGGCAGAGGCCGAAAGCCAGGATGAGCACAGGGCCCCACCTGCTTTATGTGGGTGGGAAAGATATACTGTGGGGGGAGGTCGTTACAAGGGAAGCCTGAAAATTCCCGGGGGGGGGGGGACCGAACCAGACCGGAAGGAGGAAGCCCACTGAGCAGACGGGTTGGGAAGGGTACAGAGGGAGGGAGGCACTGTCAGCAGACAGCACCCCATGACCAAGGCATGGGAGAGCTGGGACGCCCACCCTTGCATCTGGCTTCTTGGAGCACAGGGTCCAGGAAAGGCAAAAAGGGAAGAGCAAGATAAAGCTTTGGGATCAGACTGTGCCATGCAAAGGAGTGTAACATCTTCCCTCTGACTCTGAGGAGCTCTCCCAGGCCTTGCTGTGAAAGGGCAGTGCTGTAAATCCAGACTTCAGAGAAGGGCGTGGAGGACAGATGGGAGTGGGTCCCAAGTGGACCTGGGAGCCTGAAGGGAGAGGTAACGATGGCAGAATCATAGTCACCTAACTGTCTTCCTCTGGACGGTATTGCTTCTTGGACATCACCGTAATAGGCTTCAAAATCTAAAAAGAATAAACAAAATCATAATGATTTCTTTATAATCACAAACTCCTCTGAAATCAATACCAACTCTCTGGATGAGTCATGCTATCCCTGACCTGATTCTGTTCCATAATTGCTTTGATTACACAGTATTGTCAGCGGTGGGACCACTTGTGACAGTGGGACTGGCAGGTGCCACTGCCCGGACTCCAGAGGAATGGGACGAGGAGTGAGGTTGCTAAGCACAGCTTGGCTGGAGAGTGGGGGACCGAGGCTCACACTGGGCTCCCTGTCACCGCAGCCTGCACCCCTCCTCTCTTCAAGTGAGTCTTTTACTGTTCTTACAGAGAAAACATCTTGCTGTCTTCTCTTACAAGGAGTGAAATAGACACAATAATGCCCCAGAGCAAACGCCACGCCCTGTGCCTTGGCACTCCTCTCCCCAAGGCTGAGGAGCTTGCCCACTGCAGTGCCTGCCTTCCCAGGGCTCGGGCCCTGAATGCAGAGGGGATGGAAGAGCCTGCAGGGCCCTAGTGTGAGCAGCAAAGCCAAATAGCCTGTCCTGGTGAGGAACAAGGACAGACAAGGAGGTGCCGGGCCAGAGCTCTGCTCACTGACTTTTTGCTCCTTTTTGGGGGCACCAAAATAGCTTCTGTCCAACCTGAAACCCAGTGATAAAGTGATGCCATTGATCACTAGGGCAGGGGAGAAGGATCAGGAAGCTGAGGGGAGCGGCAGCCCTGCTGCCCAGACATAGCACACACAGAACCTCACTGCAGCCCAGAACCTGCCTGGGCGCTGCGTTTTCCCAGTCCAGAGATAAGGAATCTGAGACTCAGCGAGTGGGGCACAGTTAGCAGGTGGGGGGTGCGAACTCTGCAGGCTCTGACCTGAAGGCCTGTGCTGATTCCCGCATCCAAAGGTGACTTTGGTGCCCAGACAAGAAGGGGGATGTGCAGGGCAGGTGGCTCTTACCAGAGAGATGATGAGCGGGGTTGGCTGGGGGCCCACTTCTCTCAGGGGGGCCGGTCATCAGGGCACCCTCGCCTCGTGGCCCCGGCTCTGGGCCTGGCGGCTCTTCCTTGGGAACCTCCCCTGGGACTGCAGAGTCTCCAGCAGCAGGGATCCGGGGGACGCCAGCAGTGGGCTCTGGGGCAGGTCTCCCCAGGGCTGACAGGGCAGTCTGGCTTAGGGTCTCAAGTGACAGCTCGCGTGAGGATAGTGTGGCTGTCACGTCAGGGTCTGGCATGGTGGGCTCAGAAGACAGTGGGCTTGGCTCTGATGACTTTAGAATGGCACTGAATCCTGATGAGCCCAGCAGCCCTGCAGCTCTGCAAAAGGGAACTTCAGCAAAGGGTTGACAAGGTTAAACAACACATGTTTATAAAAGCCTACAGGTTGTGTAAGGATTATTATATACATATATAAAGATAAGCACGTGTGCACGTGTGTGTGTGTATATATATATATTTTAGAGACAGGCTTCCAATCTGTCACCCAGGCTGGAGTACAGTGGCATAATTACAGCTCACTGCAATCTCGAATGCCTGGGCTCCAATTATCTTCCCATCTTAGCCTCCTAATAGCAGAGAAAAGTCTCGCTATGTTGCCCAGGGTAGTCTCAAACTCTGGCCTCATGCCATCCTCCTGCCCCAGCCTCCCAACATGCTGGGGTTACAGGCATGCACCGCCACACCTGGTGACAATGCTCTGTCTTAAACAAATATGATGTGAATTTCAAAACCAACACTTTGAAGGTAAAGAGCATGTAGTCTGGTTTCCACCTGGTGGCATGTGGGGGAACCGCAGGAAGCAAACACATGCAGATGGGACAGGCGGGGTTCACTGCCACTTCTCTGGCCTTTGCTCTTCCCAGTGTGTTGAGGGGAGTTGCCAAACTCTACGCACCACCTGGTGGAACCATGTGTCTTTGGGAAACACTGGGGCATGTGGAGTTTCTCTTAATCCTCACTCTCCTTCCTGTCTGTAAGTATCTAGTACAATTCTAAAAATCGTTATGATCATCATAGAGCATCAATAGTAAAGAAAAAAATGCCATGAACATATAACTGAGCTCTCAGTGAAGTCAGCTTCTACTTGCAACCTTAGAGAACCAGATTCTCTAACACACATCAATGCAGGGGCCGTTCATTCACTCTGCTGCAAGTTCAGCCATTGAATGAGTTTCCTTTGCAAGCTCTTCTAATCCATTCAGCCTGGGGTTTGGTTCAGGAAAATTCAATTTACCTAAAAGAATTTGGGAACGCCTCTCTTGCAAAAAAGGGCACAACTGCACTCTATGTCCTCATGTCCCCATGGCTACTGACGCCAGCTGTGCTCAGAGCTCCACTCAGAGAAGCTCTGTTTGGCCTCAGTGAGTGGATTAAAAAAAAGAATTGTGAAGGTCAGCAGGGCCTCAGCGCCAGCTTTGCTGTAGGGAGGAATAAAGCCCCTCTGGTGCTGTTCAGAGCCACCTCCCTGATCTCAAGTACCACCAAGCAAGGACACCATCTTGCTCCTGGTTCAAACCTGAGTGTCCCACAGCACCTGCCGTCCCATCGCCAGTGCCCGGCATACTCTGGCACATTACTGTCCCCAACCCCACCACCACTCTGTGGAGTAGTTCTGTCCCCACCTTCCACTCAAGGAAACTGAATCTTAGGTGCTTAGGTCACTGGTGGACATTTTGGAGACAGGACTGCACGGCGTTCTGCCCTGGTCCCTCTACTTGCCCCACACTCTGCAGCTTTCCCAGAGACAGGCAGGATTGTGAGAAACCCAGCCGTCACTGCAACATCCTGGGTCCTTCTGAACAGCTCCACGGTGGTTCTGAGCCAGCAGAACTGCCTGAATGTATGCTGGATGCCCCCTTTGTGTTACACCGAGGAAGCCACCTGAGTCACCCCACCTGCTGCTGCCTCCCGGAGTACCCAGAGTGCAGAGTGAGGGGCTGAGGAAGTGCAGCCACCCAAAGGGCCGACCAGACACCTGGGTCAGACCGATCCTACCTCCCAAAATCTTAGCGACCTCACCCTGAGGTTTTTCCTCAATCTGCAAAATTAAACCAAACATTTTTTACCTTCCATCCTATTCTTTTCTGTTGCATTGACTAAAAAGAGATCCCAGGAATAGGACAGGTTTGGGATTTCACCACAGCCTTCACACACAGCTTGCAGAGAAAGTTCTTCATTCCAGTTGACAAAGGTATCTTTAAAGTTGACCCAGGAGATGTGGATGAATCTGGAACATGCAAATTGGTTCGAAATTTTAGGACAATAATGTGAAGGCTCCTTGACCATGGCGTTCGTTCACATGAAGCCTGTTTAAATCACCCTACCTTGAGTCTCCATTAAGAGAATTCACAGCCCTTATGATGGAGCATACACAGTGGCTGGGGCTGCACGGAGTGTGACACCCTCATGATCTGACCTAACAGGGCAAGATCCTGCAAGGCCAGAGCACTGACTGACTTCAGAGAGGTTGTGTGACCTCCTCAGAGCCAGGGCTCAGCCCCTGTCCTCCAGCCTGGGCTTTGATCAATCTCACAACGGAAGAGTAGTGCCTGCCCCATCCCTACCTTGCTACCCCACCTCAGGGCTTGCTTCTACCAGCTGCAAACCTCCCCCTCCCTGAGTCCTGCCAGTGGCCGTCCACCTTTGCCATTCCCATGAGACCTTAGAGGCTCACAAAGAAAAAGGTCACTCCTGCCTCAGCCCTTCCTCCTCCCCGCCCTGGGCCATGGGTCATGCACGGGCTTCCCGCACCCTGCAGCTGGGTCCATTCCCCCGGGCCTGCATCCCCTGCGACCCCCTGACTGGTCCTCTGGTCTCCCTGCAGACCTGGCATGTTTCTGCATTCTGTGCCACTTTGCTCTTCACGGCCTCCTAGGGTGAGCTGGGATTGGGCCTCACCAAACAGGTTTCTTTCCTGCAGGACTTGGGGAAAGGCCAAGTGCAGCAGAGATGCTCTGGGTGTGTGTGTGATATGTGGTGCGGGGCATTTCTTATGGGAGTGGCCCAGACCCTAGGCCCACATCTCAGACCATGACCACAACTCATAGCTGCAAGTACAGGAGGTGACGGGCCACGGCAGGAGGCCACACAGCTTCCACTGGACCCGGCCTGTCCATATGTGCACACAGGTGTGCCTGCGTCTTTGCATAGGGTACCTGTGTTCTCAGTAGGTGAGGGTGGGGTGGGGTGAGAGGAGACAAGGCAAGGGGAGGCTGGCTGGCCCCAGGCCCCCCAAGCATGTCCATCCACACAGGCCCTGACATTCCTGATGGGATCAAAGATGCTCACCTAAAAACCCAAGCACTCGGTGAAGGAATATTTTAAAATAAACTCTGGAATTATCTTGTGAGTAGCAGGATTATATAGTGTGTTGTATTTTGGGGAAAAAGTATTTAATTTGTTAAATTTAATGATCGAAGTTGTGCCCCAACTTCCATGCCCTCATGATGGCATTTCTTCACTTTTAACATGTACCAGAACCTCAAGTAACATGAGGTAGTCCAGGTCTAGGGGCCCGCGAGCAGTTCTGCATGTCCCCAGGGCTCATATACTGAGTGTTATCTTTATTGCTCTAATTCTGAACCCCCAATTCCAGTCCCAGGGGTCTTCCTGAGTCCTGAGGGCAGCATAATGCTTTCTGGGCTACATCCAGCCCACACATTGGGTGGTAGTAACAGCACCACCTGCCTGGAGCCTTCCCAGGGCTGTGAGCAGTGGGCCAGCACCAGCACTGCTCCCTAGGTGGACTCCAGCTTCCAGCCCACAGCAGAGTAGTGAAGGCAGGTGGCCTGAGCACCATCCCCTCTACCACTCACTTAATGACCCAGAACCTTGGAGGGGAGGCCAGGGGGCAGCTGTGCCCACACTCAGCAGAGTCCTGGCACCAGGCTCCTGGTGTCGGGGCTGCACGTGGCCTGTGAGCATCACTCTGACCTTGGCACTGTCGGGGTATGGGGTTTGGATCACAGCACCTCTTTGCTCCTGTGCCCTTCACCATCTCAGACATCATGGCTGGGCCCATCTCATGTCCCCTCAGCCCGTGATGCTGCAAGGACTAGGCAGAGACCTTGAAGGCCATGGCTTAGAAGGAACTCGATGGCTTTGCTCCCTTCTAGTTTGGCCTGAAGCCGGGAAACAGTCCCCCATGGTGAGGGCAGGCACCATGACAGGAGGGACCTACTGAAATCCCACTGGGAACCCCATGCATGTTGGTTCTGGCCAGTGTGCTTGGCCAACTGACACTGTCCAGAGGTCAGCCAAGGGCAGGATCCCATCCCCAGCCCCCTCCTAACCAGTTCCCTCTTCCATCTCTGTATGGAGGACCCTGTGTGACCAAACCCCAAGCAGCTCACCACGCAGCCTGCGCAGCCAGCGGGGCACCTGTGTGCCGGGCTGTGTGGAGCATGGGGAAGGTAATACCTGAAGGCCGAGTCAGAGCGGGTGGACAGGAATGCTTGGGCCTCAGAAGAGTTCCGGAGGCCACTGGAGACAGTCAGTGTCACAAGGAACTGGTCATAGCTGCCACTGAGCCATTTTGCTACAAAGGAGAAGGTGGGAGCCCAGGTGTCCAGTCGGTGTGGAGTGGAGGAGGCGAAGCAGGGCTGCCCAGGTAAGCTGGCGGCTGTGCACTTCCAGTGGTACCTGTGGGAGAAGCCGTTGGAAGGGCAGGGAGCACTGTGTGTCACTGTGTGGGCTTTCTGGAAGGGGGGGTCTCAAGGGGACAGGTGGGTGAGGAAGGGACGCTGTGGGCTTTCTGGGG